GAGCGGGACTCTCGAGCGCGCGCGTCGAAATCGGTCGACCGCCTTCGCGCGCTTGCTGTGGGGGCGCGATCCCTGGCAAGGACTGCATTGCGGGCCGCTCGCAACTGTCGGCCGCGCGCGCGCGCCCGAGCTCTGACAACGTCTTCATCGTCGGCACGCGGGCGCCGCCATCGGCAGCGCCGCCGTTGGCTTCGCCGCTGCCATCGTCATTCTCGCCGCCAGCGTCGCCGCTGTCGTCGTCGCGTCTGCCGTTGCCGATGTCGCCGTGATACCGCGCCCGCGCGAGTCACCGACTCGCATTGATGCGCCGTCTTGTCGGCGCGGCCTGCGAGGCGCGCCGGGAAGCTCCTAGCGGCCAGTGCCGCGTTTGCCGCGTCGGTCGCGCCAGATTAGGCGGATCGGATTGTACTGCGAACAGGTATGATTCCTCGCGTAGATTGCACCATGGGGAGTGCCCCCCATAGATTGCACAACATTGGGCGCACCACATCGACTGAGTAACATGTGCTGGGCAACATAGATAGATCGCACCGCATATAATGCGCAACATTTATCGCAGCACACAGATCGCCCCGCATAGATTACACAACGCAGGCAGCACCACGCAGGTTGCACAAAAAAAGGCGCACAACACAGGTTGCACAACACAGGTAAGCATCGCATGAACTGTGCAACGCATGTTACATATCGTATTGTTCAACAACAAATGTATTGCACATGCTGCACCGCGTATTGCGCACAGAGTTCACCACAGGATCCGCGCAACATACCTTGTTCCACAAGGGTTGCTCCACACGTGTTGCGCACATTGCACCATATGGATTGCACAACGTAGATTGCACAACGCAGGTTGACCCACGTAGTTTGCACTACATTGGTTGCTCCGCATCAGGTGCACTGTACCTGTTGAATGTACTGCCCATCTTGCACCAAGCCGATGGCGCCGGCAGTATTCCTCAAGATTGCGCACCACATACGACCTCACATCGCACGACGTAGATTGCGCAACATAGATTGCACAACGTAGGTTGCACAACATCGATCGCGCCCCTCTTATCCCCCCCCCAGCACCGCCAACCCCCGCCTCCGCCCCGGAGTTATCGTTCCCCCGAGGCATTTTACAGTGTACAGTTGATGCTGCCACGTGTAAAGATGGGTTCGCACCATCCAGCCAGACCCTTCGCCCCCCTCGTTCATCCCAGTCAAAGAATATGCTTCGCGCATTCGCTCATTACACACCATCGGTTTTTCAAGGACCCGTTGTCAAACAGGCGGCCACGGTCGACGCGCGCGCGCGGTCGCGCGCATGGTGATATTCTTCAGGCCACACATGTGGGATCCAATTCCTGCGCGCCGTGTCTTTGTTTCAAAACAAGCACGCGCCCGCGCTCGTCATCATCGAACACACGTGCCCGCGCTCTTTGTTTTCAAATCGATGTTCCCGAACACATGTGCGCGAGTACTGATTCCGGCTGGTGGCGCAGCCAGTTGAGTATATCGCCGCAGGAAAGAAAACATTTGCAGCCAATCATCTTTTTAACGGCCCAATAAACTAAACTATATAGCTGTTACCGAGGGAACAGGGGGATCAACGAAACGAGCGTGAAGAAGGTTTCAAGCTGGGGTTGATTGATGTTGAGCGGGTATACATTCACATTAACGCCAAAACAGTTTCTTTTTTTTCAGTTTGCCCGAAGAAGATCATGGACCCGACATGCGCGCAACGGTCAGAGTCAATGTTTAGCACCCCAGACACCGCCAGCATCTGGGAAGATTGCTACGTTGATTTGGAACGTGGCATTGGTTGCATTGGTCTTGACAACCGGAAGGCATCGCCATGCGTTCAAACAACAGAAAAGCCCAATCTGGCTTACGGTGCACGGGGATCGACGCTACCCAGGACCAACATATTCGAAATCGATCAGGATTTTCAACCGAATTATGGAATTGTGCCGGGATGGCTTGTGGCATGAGGTGGATCAAAGACATGCGGGGTTATTTCTCGAGGGGGTGGGCCTGGCGCAGCACAGAAAGAGATGCGAGGTATCATGTGAAAACCAGCCATGCGTAGAAGGAGTTGGGAAGACCCTGCCAAACCATGGAGTTCAGAAGTGCTATGCTGTAGTGGCCAGGGGAAAATATCTAATTAGAACGGGACCCTCCGGAAGTACAACACTCAGTTAAGGAGCTTGCGCGTTCTATCTCAGCCACAACCCGACAGGCACGGAACAGTCTTAAGAAATTCGGCGAGTACTTCGAGAACCACGGAAGTTGCGGATATCAGTATGTGCATCAAGAACGCGCTAAGGAGTCAACCGCGTGCGTGTGCACCAATTACGAAGGGCGCAAGAACAAGCGGAAATCAACATGTGGAAGTACCGTGATGTGGGGATCGCACCCTGTCAAGCCGTGGAATTATACGGAGAGCGTGGTGGCTTTTTCTTCTGGCCAAAAGGAACGGAACGTTGAAGGATGTTTCAGTAGCGTTCGGCTTGCAGGCGACTCAAGCATGTGGAAGGTCATTGATATCGGGTTCAAGAGCGACGCAAGCACAGACATTGCCACTGCGAGCAGACGAGGATCAGGGAAGGTCAGACACGCGGAAGTTTGCCAGCCTCAGCTGCAACAAAAAATTGAGACGAGCAGATATCGGAGTGACCAGAGTGGGGACGCATGAGAAATTTGCAAGTGCACGATTAAGAATCGGTGGCAGGGGTACATGCCCATAAATGTCGAAGCACCGACCAGCACCGGGCTAACGGAAGACACGATTTTAAATGGGTACGGAGTATTGTGTTCGTTCGTTGACGCGTTAAATTCGCGAGCCTTTTTGCCAGAGACTTAGGCTCATGACCGAAGCAGTCCCAGGTGCTCGTTGCAGCGATATCAAGACTACACCACTGAAGATGTTAATCACTGGCACTACTAGGTGCGTTTTGACTTCTCAAAATAGTGCACCGCGTGTTAGGAATCCCCTGCACTCTTACGCACACATCATAGTCGCCTATTGGTTGCACCAGTCTTGCTTTTAGGGCCTTTGGCGCGAATGCAACCACCTCGCGGTGGAGTCGCTTGAGTTTAGCTTGTGGCTCGTTCGGGGTGCGTGTCGGATTCTGGGTACTCAATCCCTGTATTTGTGCGCTCTGCGTGCGCGCTGCACTGGAGACCGCACCTGAAGGTAGCAAATCCAACAGCGATAGCTCTCGTCAAAGGAGCTGGCCAAGGCCTACATATGTCAGGGATTATGTCACACCACATTTGCTTGAGCCCTGTGGATGTTCACCGTTACCTTTGGGCGGCGATTCCTTCGCATATCGTATGGTCATGGGTTTGAAATTCACGCCTTCCCCGTCACGTATGCGGCCATACTGGCCGGGAGGGGAGGTCAAGCACATCAGTGGTGACATGGCCAGGAGCTTGTAGTATAGCAGAGACTTGGTGCGGCACAGATTCGAGACCATTCTCGTGTTGCGTTTGGCCAAAGTGCTGCTGCGCTCTCGTGAATAAAAGAGCTCGTCCCAGATTTCAGAAAACGGGTCAAGGCTGCGTCAGATTGCGGGGGGGTCCGAGGCCTCCACCAGCACCAGCACAAGGAACCATTCGGACCCGCTCGGACCCGCGTGGTTGAAATCGCGCGAAGTCGCAACGATGCTGGAGTCGTGGCTTGCTGGGATGTGCGTGGCTCGCTTTCGTCGCGGTGTCCTTGTCGTTGCTTTCCCAATTTCTTTCATTCCCCCATCCATCGCCAGATATGTAGCGCTTCGATGCATGATGGCGGCCTGACTTTTCCGCCTCTGGACGCTTGTTTCGGGTTTCGGGACGTAGCAAAGACTACCCCAGATGAAAGAACCAACCCGTGCGGAAGGGGTCGAGATCCAAGGGCCCACGCATCAGAAAATCAAAGCGCCGGATGTTTGGGTTCCTCCAATTTTTCGTCCCCCTTACCTCCCTCATTTCCCATTCACCGTCAAGCCCTCGCGCGTCTCCTTTTCCCCGACGCAGCGCGCATCGCGCAGTGCTCGTCGGCAGCGACGGCGGCAGCAGCAGGAGGCTTGGCACCGCTGTCCTACGAAGATGACCGAATGGAGTGACCAAGTGATCGCGGTGACCGTAGTGGCTGCGATAGCCATTGCGTGACCACGGTGCGACAATGAGGATCGTAGGGCGACCGTGCCGACCACGTCGCCTAGTGGCCGTGGACGCCATGGTGTAACCGGTTTGCCGACGCTGGCCACGGGTGGCGACGGTGTGACCATGCCGGCCGCTACTGCTGGAACGAGGGCTACATGAGAACAGCCTGAGGTGCCCTGATGTTCTTCGTGCTTGGGCGTTCCGCCTTGGAATGACATTCGTTCGGCGTATCCCCATGGGGCCGCGGGCTCTCGGCGAAGGTGTTTGTGTTTTGATGCACGTTCTTGTGCCCCTGTTTCGGCTGTGCCAGACCCCGACGTCATGATTTCTTCATAACGTCGACCCCCCCAAGACATCGCCTCATTCCCGGGGACCGCTTTCTCATCCTGAGCCGTTGCTTGACGGTCCATAGGCCCAGGGAGGGGCCCCCAGAGGCCCGAGGGAAATCCGGGTGGGGTATACCCCACCCGGGGCTCGTATAGATGTACGGGCACGGCGCCCGCATGTGTATATATATATATGTATATGTTTTCATATATATATATATATATATATATATATGGATATGTGTATATATATACACATATATAGAAACATACAAAACATGTATACATATGTATATTTATACTGGTGTATGTTTATATATAAGTATACATATATACACATATATATATATATATATATATATATGTATGTGTATGTTTGTCTATACATATATATATATATGTATATACACATGTATATATATATATAATAGTGGTATAGCCACCAGCGGGCACCGTGCTCGTATATATACGAGCACGGTGCCCGCTGGTGGGATCGTGGTGGCAGCGTGTGGCCGTGGCGACCACGGCGAGCCGCCTGCCGAGGCCACCGCCGGCGCGCCACACCTCCGCCCCGAGCCTCTCGCCGCTGGCGCGCCCCAAGTCCGCCACCAGCGTCGCGGTGCGCCGGCCCCTCGGCGGCGCCGCGGGCGCGACGTGGCCCGAGCGCCAGCCGCCCGGCGCCGCTGCCACGACGTGGCCCGGCCGCGGGGGCGCGGCGCCTCTGACGCAGGTCGGCCGCCCACGTCGCCGTCGCCCTCGGCGGCCCTCGGTCGTCCTCGGCGGCCCTCGGCGGCCCTCGGCGGCCCTCGGCGGCCCTCGGCGGCCCTCGGCGGTCCTCGGCGGCGCTCGGCGGCCCTCGGCGGCGCTCGGCGGCCCTCGGCGGCCCTCGGCGGCCCTCGGCGGCCCTCGGCGGCGCTCGGCGGCGCTCGGCTGCCCCTGTCTCTTCTGGAATATCGAGGACGCCTACGGCAAATCACCGCCGCATCCTTCCTTTCCGGTAGCCAAACATTCGGCCGAAGATTGGCCAAGCTATTGGACCAGAAACCCTTGGGGAAACATGTTAATTTGAATTACGCTTCAGTGAGCAACTCGATGCCAGCCAGTCCCACTGCCGGCGAGAGGTATGAGAAGAGGGAGGAGGAGGAGGAGGAGGAGGAGGAGGAGGAGGAGGAGGAGGAGGAGGAGGAGGAGGAGGAGGGAGGAGGAGGAGGAGGAGGAGGAGGAGGAGGAGGAGGAGGAGGAGGAGGAGGAGGCGGGAGGAGGAGGAGGAGGAGGAGGAGGAGGAGGAGGGGAGGATGGAGGAGGAGGAGGAGGAGGAGGAGGAGGAGGAGGAGGAGGAGGAGGAGGCGTAGGAGGAGGAGGAGGAGCAGAGAACGAGCAGGACAGCAGCATTGGCGCTTCCAGCATCCGTGAGAGCAGGAAGCCAAGAAACCGGGCAGCCTGTGGCAATAGGCCTGGGCCGCCCTAGAACACGCAGCGGAGCGACAAACCTTGGAGGCCCCGACCCTCCCGAGCGCCCCCAGCAGACCCCTCGCATGGCAGGGCAGCCGAGGCCAACAAAAGCCCGGGGTGTGCCGCGCCGCTCCGGAAGCGCGGTGCCGAGCGCACCGCCCCAGGGGGGCCAGGGGCCCCATGCCGATCACTCGGGCCCCAGCTCCAGCTCCTACCCCGCCCGCCGTCCTCCGCGCCCTCGCCGCAGGCGGCGGGCGGCTGCAGGCCCGATTGGGGGCCCTCGCCGCGCCCGCCCCCTGCGCGGGCAGCAAACCAGGCGAGGATCCTGGGGGCCCCATGCCGAGTGGGAGGCCCTGGCATGGGGGGGAGCCCAGGGCCACCCGCCAGGGTCACCGCCCCACGGGGGTGGGCCTGATGGTCGACCGGGCCCCCTCACCACCCTCCGCTGGTCCTGCCGCCTGGACCCCAGCTTTACCCTGCCGGTGCAGGCGGCACCGACTACTTCTGGGCTCCGTGCATATCCGATGTGCTCACCGGGCCCCCGGCTTACGCGGGGGGGGGGGAATGATGATGATGATGATGATGATGATGATGATGATGATGATGATGATGATGATGATGATGATGATGATGATGATGATGATGATGATGGATGATGATGATGATGATGATGATGATGATGATGATGATGATGATGATGATGATGATGATGATGATGATGATGATGATGATGATGATGATGATGATGATGATGATGATGATGCTGATGATGCTGATGCTGATGCTGATGCTGATGCTGATGCCGATGACGATGACGATGACGATGCTGATGCTGATGCTGATGACGATGACGATGACGATGACGATGACGATGCTGATGCTGATGCTGATGACGATGACGATGACGAGGACGAGGACGAGGAGGAGGAGGAGGAGGAGGAGGAGGAGGTGGAGGAGGAGTGCCAGAATCAACGGGGCCGCCGCGGCGTGGAAGAGGTGACGCCAGGCGCACTCGCATCTTGGTTCGAGCCTCCATGCGGCGCGCGAGGGGATGCTTGGAAGGTGCGTGGTGGCGCCGCGCCTCGAACCGAACCTACCTGGCCCCCCACGCCCCGGCGCGGCACGCCTCGGCGGGTCCGCGCGCGGAGCCTCTCCCGGCATCTCGCCCCGCGGCGTGCATCGGCACGCGACAGCGGACACCCACGCCAGGCAACAGGAGGAGGAGGAGGAGGAGAAGGAGGAGGAGGAGGAGGAGGAGGAGGAGGAGGAGGAGGAGGAGGAGGAGGAGGCCTGGGATTCTTGGGCGCCGATGGGCCTTGGAGCCGCCTGCCGGTCCCCTGCACCTGGCAGCGAGTTGTCGCGTGTGGCCCGAGGGGGCACAGCGAAAGGCGCGCAGCTAATTGCGGCTGCGGCGCCGCGAGGCCGGCTCCAGGAATGCACGGCGGAGGGGGCGCCGAGGCGCCGGCGTGACAGACGTGGGCAGAGCGTGCGCACCGGACGACAATGCATGGGAACACTCAGGGCAAAGGGGAATCTCTCGCGAGGAGGCTCGGGGAGGACGAGGAGGAGGATTTCTCGCTGCGGGCGATGAGGCGAGGACGCCGGGGCACTGGGGGAAACGGAGGTGCCCAGAACCGGCGGGGAAGAGCACAAACCCGGGCTCCAGAGTTACGATTTCTCGGTCCTTGCATCTGGGGTCTGCCGGCCTGGACGAGGTCCAGTCCCGGCCCCCGGCGCTTGCCGCGGCCCCGGCCGAGGCCCCCCCGACCCCTCGGGCCGGACGAAAGGGGGGGTTACGAAATTTGCTGCATGCAGCTGATTTCGGCCTCACCGAGGGGCCGGCGCCGGGAGGCGCTGGGGAAGTCAGCTATACGTGAGCTGACTTTCAACCCCCCGCTTTGCTATCCCCCTCTTTCGCCCGACCCGAACCCCTGCCTCGGCGCTGGCCCCGCCCCGGCTCTGGGACCCGCTCCGGCCCCCCCAGCCTCGGCCTGAGCTCCCGTGCCGGCCCCGCCTCCACCAGGAGGAGGAGGAGAGGCCGCAGCACGAAGCGTCCTGGCTCGCCTCTATGGCCCCAGCAATCAATGTTCTGGGAAGCGTTTGCGGTGCCCACACGAAATATTCTTCGAACAGTTCTGGTTGGGACTGTCTCGGTTTCACACCTCAGGCGAATGTTCTAAGAACATGGCGGGACGGTCGGTCCCTGCTCAAAGCCTGGGATCCGGAGTCTAGACGCTGAAACTCCGGAGCTTGAGGTTGTAAGCTCTGGAGTCTCCAGTCTGCGCGGGCGTCCCCCGCGGGCTTTCTCTCTCTCTCTCTCTCTCACCCCCATCCCGCCCTCCCCATCCCCAGCGCCGCTTCTCGTCGTTCGTCTGGCTTCCCTGGCTGGTCTGTCGTGTCGTGACCTTGCATGGGCTCCGTCTGCGATGGTAAATCAAGTTGATGGGGCTGGTGTCGGTGACCTGTTTTCGTGAGAGTAGTGCTTCTTCCCATCTCGCCTGATCCTTCCCAAGGCGGCGGCGAACGGGGCGACCATGCACGAGAAAACGCTCTGGGCGTACAGTTCCGCTGGCCTTTGAATCGTTATCCGTGGTGGGGGCTGGTACAGGTCATGGAAGGATGGCAGGCGTCGATCAGGACGGGAACATGTGAACATGCGTCACATTCTGCATATGTTGTCTTCGCTCTGGAGCTTGACTCGGGCCACCAGACGCCGCTTGGAGTGTCAAAGCCACCTCCCTTCGATGATCTCGATCAGTTCCAGATGTCGCGGAAAGGAAATCGATGCAAATGACAAGCGGCGTCCTGAATATCAGCGTTTCTTGGTCTTATCCTCCGTGCTCTATCCATCTTTGTCCCCCCCCACCCCCCCCACCCCGTGCTCGATCGATATTTGTCCATCTTTGTGCTATATCCATATGTGTTCTCCTCTGTGCTCTATCCATCTTGTCCCCCCCCTACCCCCCCACCCCGTGCCCACTTGTCAGCCATGTCGAGGGTTCGCCGGCATTGTCAGGCAGCTCAAGGGCGTCTTGGACTGCTTTGGTGCCTTCCTCCAGGTGACACTCCTATAGGAAGTTGAATCCAGGATCGGCGCAAGTGCACCCGAGGCCGGAAACCATCCTACGCTGGCCCATTTCAAGAGAAGATATTATCTCCCAGCCAGATCCAGCTTAATATGGGGTTCAATGTCGCCTGATCTGGCCTCAGGGAACCTTCCTTGGGATTGTCAGGAGGGAAGAAACACACAGACACAATTAATCGTCGAGTCCCCAGAAAGTGTGGTAAAACATATGAAGTGGGGGAAAGACGAAAACCGAGAAAATATTGGAAAACATGTGGCATCCTGTTATTTGTATCTATTTTTTTGTTGTGTGTCTGTGTGTGTGTGTGTGTGTGTGTGTGTGTGTGTCCCAGGGCCCCTTCAGATTGGTAGTCCCTGGTCGTTCCCACGAGCACCTTTCTTCACGGCGAGGCGGTGTGCAATGGAGAAGCACCAGAAGCAAGCCACTGCGATTTCCAGCTCCCTACGGGGCATGATCCGTTCCCACACCCCTCGGGTCATGAAAAAAGCACGACGGGAGGTTTGTTCCCATTTTCGGCCTCGGGGAGCCCTTCCCGACAAAAAACGACTCAGGATGAAAAGTCTGTCCCGCGGAATGGGTCGAGACTTCTGGGGTCGACGTCATAAAAGAATCATGACGTCGGGGGTCTGGGTTTGACGTGTGCGTGTGTGTGTGTGTGTGTGTGTGTGTGTGTGTGTGTGTGTGTGTGTGTGTGTGCGTGTGCGTGTGCGTGTGCGTGTGCGTGTGTGCGTGTGTGCGTGTGCGTGTGCGTGTGCGTGTGCGTGTGCGTGTGCGTGTGCGTGTGCGTGTGCGTGTGCGTGTGCGTGTGCGTGTGCGTGTGCGTGTGTGTGTGTGTGTGTGTGTGTGCGTGTGCGTGTGCGTGTGCGTGTGCGTGTGCCGAAATTGCCACGGCTAGGCCGTTGCGGCTTGCCATTGCGCCCTGTCTTGCCCTCGCGTACTGTGCACTGTGCTTTTCGTCCCTCCTCCGCGTCTCCCCCCCCCATCCCCTCGTGGCCCCCAACGGGCGACTCGGTCGATCCCCTGTTGGCGGTGTTCTCCATTCTCGCCCTCCGCATCTTTTCATTATTTCTTCCTTCTGCAGGGAGCGGGCTACTTCTTGCGCTACAGAGGCTGCATTCGCGACCCTGGGCCAACCAAGGCACACACGCACGCACAAGTGGACGTTGGCGGCTGGCGCCGACGCATCGGCCGAGTTCCACCATGCTGCGGATGCCGTTGTCGGCGTTCCAAGGTCAAGGCAGGAAAAACCACCCAGACCGGACAATTGGCGTTTTCTGAACGGCCCTAGGCTTTTACTGAACAGCCCTGCCGTGTTCGATTCCTTCAGTGGGGGCGTTCAGTAAACGGCTTTGCGTGTCGGGATGGTTATTCTGGGGGGGGGATTTGTTGCTTCCTACTTTCAAGGAACACACCGATGCCCGCCGGTGAAAATCCGCGCCCAGAGCCCCGGACCCCATCTTTCTGCGTCATTTTGCGAGCCAGATTGATATGTGAGGGTCCCGGGGCCCCGGAGGACGGCGAAAGCGCCCAGCTCGGAAAATCGAGTCGCCAGGCTCTCGGGGCATCGGCCGAGTTCCACCATGCTGCGGATGCCGCTGCCGGCGTTCCAAGGGAGCACACCGCGATGCCTGCCAGATCCGGGGCCCCGGAGGGCTCCAAGTCCTTCGCGCCTGCCCACCGAGCGCGTGGGCACAGATGGCTCTGGCGCGGAGCGCCAGGTCCGGCTGTGAAGGCCGTATACATCGGCCAAGGTTCGGGTATGGCCAGGGCCCCGGGTCAGGGGACCCGGTCAGTGGTAGGGCCGCGGAGCCTTTGGATTGGCCAGAATCACAAAACCAGGTTTGCCATAGCTTGTGTTTTTTTTCCGGATGACGGCAGTTCTGGTTAGTGGACATGGGTCGGGGGGGCAGCCCCAGTACAGATCACTAAACCAGGTTCCACTAAACCCAGTTCTACCAACGCCCGAAAGGTGCCGCCGACCCTGCAGGCGGCGAGGGGACCGCGCGAGGGTTTCGGACTCGCGCGGAGGAAGAGCGTACCCTGAGATCCAACGCGTTGAACAAAATCAAGACGGAGGCTTTTCGCGACTGTCGGCCTCTAGAGGCACTCGCCGGGCCCCAGGACCGTCAAAAATCGACTCGGGATGAAAGACCGGTCCTGGGGAATGGGTCGAGACTTCCAGGGACCGCGCATTGAAAGAATCACGACATCGGATCTCTGGGTATCCGGGTGGCGACCCCCCACCCCCCCTGCCCCCTGCCCCCCCTGGGACCTCCCCCCGGGACCCTCCTTCCCCCCCCGCGCGGGGAAGGGATCGAAGGTAAGGGGCTTCCCTTCGATTCCTTTCCTACGTTGTTCAATTTTGCTCTGGACGGCGCGTATGAGGAAGAGGGCCTTCTAGGCCAATGGAGCAGAGGAGGACGGACAAGCGCGTGTTCCCAGGTGGCTCTGGCGTGGAGCGTCAGGTCCGATTCGTTGCCCCCGCTCGGCGCAGACGAGCAGCGAGCGATCGTGCGTCCGCATCGCTTCTGGTTTAGTCTCAGAGCCAGGCGGGGTGGACTGCCCGAGGCCGGCTAGCGGCGGGCGTGCGCGCGCGCCCGCGCGCGGACCCGACGCCCGCCGACCTGGCTTTCGCAATGCGCGGCCCCAGAGGTCCCGAGCCCTTCCCCCCAGACCCCCTCGGGTCGTGCAAAAATTGCGACGGGAGGTTTGTCCCTGTTTTCGGCCTCGGGGGTCCCTTCCCGGCCCTCGGGACCGTGAAAAAACGACTCGGGATGGAAAACTGGTACCGGGGAACAGGTCGAGACTTCTGGGGGTCGATGTCATGAAAAAATCATCACGTCGGGGGTCTGGGCCTGGGGCCAGTTCTGCGTCCCCAGTCCATCGTTGATGGTCCTGGGGCCCGAGAACTGGCCCGACGGAAGCCGAGCTGGAGGACAGGCGCCCGCATTGCAAACGCCACATCGTCAGAGATCTGACAGGCGGGACTCGAGTCTGGGCGGTGGCGTCGTGGTGCGCGTGCGCCCCGACCAGCAGGCACCGCGGCTGCCTGGGCGCGGGCTCGGCTGCCGCAGAGGTCGCCGCCATATGATGGCACCCGGGCGCGTGCCCGTGCAGGCGCTTTCCGCGCGGGAAGCCGGCGGCGCTGCGGTGCTCAGCTTCGTGCCTCCGCCGCTGCCGCTGGCGCCTGCCACGCCCGCGGGGCAGCACGGCGCGAGCCCGCTGCCGCCCCCGGCGGCGGACTCCCAAAGCCTGGCGCCGGGGGCGGAGGTGCCGAGGAGGAAGGGGTGACGATGCCGCTGCCCTCCCCTCGCTTTCGCTGCCTGTGGGCCTCCCGGGCGGGCCCGCGTCGCCACGGCCGGATTCGCTTCGAGATTTTGGTCGGAACGCACCCCCAGAGATCTGGGGAGTAGCTGTATAGGCCTCCCAGGCAGTGGGGTCCGAGCAGGTGGGTTCGGAGGATCGCGCCGCATCGCCGATGCGTCGGCAATGCGGCTCGATGTGGAGCCGGGATTGATCCACGCCGACGTCGCCGATGCATCGCCGATGCGGCGGGATCCCCCGACGCCATCCGCTCGGGCCCCGTCTGGGAGCCCTCTGGAGGTGGCCATGGGCGGCTGGCGCTTCCGCTGCTGCGGCGTGCTGGGACGGGGCTCCTTCAGCCAGGTCTGGGCCGGCACGGTGCTGGAGGGCCCAGAGCCGCTGCTGGGGGCCCGAGGCGTGGGGTCTCGCGCCAGCCGCAGCGGCGGCGAGGCGGCGCGGGAGGGCGGCGTCGCGCTGAAGGCGCGGCCAGGAAGCAAGCGGGTCTTGAGGGAGGCGGGCCATCGGGTTGCGCGCCGCGGTCGGCCTCCCGGGGCCCTCTCCACAGGGCCCTGGGCCTGGAAGCGGTTCGGGATGAGGAGGTGGTCCTTGGGGGAAAGCCTGGGGTCCAGGGCCCGTTCGCTTCACGCCAGAGGTGATTCAGTGCCGCTCGCAGCAAGATTTGCAGCAGGCGCTGTTCGAGGCGGCGCTGCTGGAGCGTTTCCAGGCGCTTGCCAGCCCCGACGGGCACGGGACTCCAGCCATGAGGGTGCCTCGCTACCTGGCCCACCGGGTCGAGCCGAGTTTGCGAGGTGGCTGGCTAGTCCGAATGGCCATGTCTCGAGTACCAGGGGAGTGCTTGGACTCCTTCCTGAGGCGCCCGCCAGTGCAAGGCTGGGATCCAGCCGTGGCCGCGCAGTGCGGTTGCGCGCTTGCGACGCAGCTCTTCAGGCAACTGGGCCCGACGCTTGAGAGGATGGCACCCCATGCTTGGCACAGGGACGTGAATTCGCACAACGTGCTCCTCTCCGACGCGCTCGACGGGGGCTGCCTGCGCGCGTGCGCCGACGCCGAGGACATGGCGCAGAGGGCGTCTTTCTGGCTGATCGACTTCGGCCTGGCCGTGGACTCCACGACCTGGCCCTCTGTGTGGCAGCACTCCGATGTCGCGGGCGACTGCCGTTACTGGCCGCCGAGCTCCTTCTTGATGAGCTTCTTTGGCCCCGAGGAGGTGGCGGTCCACCCGCACATGTGCAAGCAGTACCAGACGCAGCTGGACATCGCCGGCCTGGGCCTCACCGCGCTGGAGGTCCTCGCGACCCTCGCGCTATCCGCCCCGCGCGGGAGTGGTGACGCCGCTGGTGCAGCGCCTGCCGTGTTCGGCGGGCCGTGGCCGAGGCTCCTGGCGGTGTGGCAGAAGTACCGCGAGGAGGTCAGCCGCTGGCACATGAAGATCTTCCAGGTCTTCTCCTCTGGAGGCGACGTCGGCCCGCTGTGCAGGGCGCTGGCCCAGGAGCGCGTCGTGGAACAGGTCACGGCCCACATCGCCAAGCTGCGCACGCTCCTGCGCGCCTGTGCCGCCGGGGGCATGCGCTCGGCCCGCGGCGAGAGGGCCGAGGAGGCCCGGGCCCGGAGCCTCTTCTGGGTGATCGCCGAGGCCATCGACGAGTCCAGCTCGCTGGGGCTTCGGGAGGCCGTCGAGAAGCTCGGCGGGCCCGAGGGCTGCCCCGGCCGACCTCCGCAGCCGCCGCCCCTCGCGCCCAGGCCGCAGGGCGCCCGCGCCCAGGCCCGCGGCAGCTCTGCTCGGCAGGCGGAGCCGCTGTCGCCGGCAGCGCCGTGCTCGCCGCTGCCCCCGGCGGCCGCGGCCTGCGCAGCGCCCGCGGCGCTCTCGCCGTGCCCCGTGGCCGCGGGCCCCCGGGGTGCGGCGGTGCCGCAGGCGCCTGCCGCGGCTCACCGCCGCCGCAGCGCTTCGCCCACGGGCCGTCACCCAGGGTGGGCCACCGCGCCGATGCCACGCGGCGCGCCGTGTGGCTCGGTGCCGCCTGCGTCAGCCTGGCATGCTGGCGGCGAGGGCAGCGCTGCTCGTTGGCCCGCTTGGCGCGCACCCCTGACGGCAAGGCCCCCGCGGCCGCTGGCGCGCGGCGCGGGGGGCACGAGCCTGGCGGCGCTGCCCACGCCGTGCCGGTCGCGCGCAACCTCACCAGGCCCCAACCTGTCTTACCAGCCGCCGCCTGCAGGCTTCAACCTCTCCTACCAGCCGCCGCCTGCGCGAGAGGCGCATACTGCCGCGCCGCATCCGGGATCTCCTTGCTCGCCTGGAGCGCTGCTTCTCCGCACTGCCCCCGCGGCCCCTGGCGCGCCGCTGGGCGCCGCGTTCGCGCAGCCGCGCCGGGGCCGGAGCCCCTCTCCGCAGCCGCCGGTGCTCCACGGTTGGTCGTCCGTTCCGCTGCCGGGAGGCGCATCGCCTCGTGCGCCACGCTGGGCCGCCTCGCCAGCGTCGCCGCGGGCCGCCGAGGAGCCATCTGCTCAGAGGTTCGCCTGGCGCTCGCCAGCTGCAGAGCGTCGGGATCAGCCTGGCGCCGCGTGGTCCCCGCGGTCGCCAGGTTCCGGCCTGGCGGCGATGCCGCCCCCGTACGGCGAGCAGAGAGGTGCCAATTTGTCGTATCAGCCTCCGCTGTTCGAGTGGCCCAAGGGCGCCGTGGCCGCCGCTGCCGTGCACACGGCCCGGCCGCCCCAGCCGGCGCCCCGCGCGGCGGCGAGGCTCGGGGGCGGGTGAGAGGGGCGGCGCGCAGGCGGCTTCGTGGAGCAAATTCGCATGGGGAGTGGCCTCGTGCCCCAGCATCGAGCAGTGGCGAAGCGTCTTGGCTTGCCTATATAGGCCCACCAAAGGATGTTCTAAGAACCTCTCTTGGCCTGCGCAAAATGTTCTTAGAACTTTCCTGGCTGGGACCGTCTTGTTCTAACACATCGGTATCATGTTCTAAGAACATTGTCTTCGTTATTTGCACACTTTAGGGTTCTAAGAACATATCGTGGTAGACCTATCGGAACACCAGGACGGTCGGCCCCTGCTCAACAGCAGGCCAGGCGACCATGAAGGGATGCCGGCCTGCCCGTGGAGCAGCCCGCGTTGACGCAGGGCCGCGCTGCGTGCTGTTCGCCTTGGGGCCCCGGCCCCAGAGCCCGATATCCTCTCTGCATGTGCACGCCTGGGGACCCACGTATCGGCACCGTCTGACCTTTCCCCATCCCCATTGGGCCAGGGAAGGGGTAGGGGGGGGGGTAGGGGTAGGGTTCGCATGTTTCCCCCTACAGGGTGCATCGGCCCCACCAGCCCATCCACCCCTAGGTGGAGACGGGCCCCGCGAAGCCCGAGAGAGCGGGCACGATTGTCCCCACCTCGGCGGGGAAGTCGGCGAATGTCGGGGCCCGAGAGGCTCGAGTTCGCTGGAACTCGGGCTTGCCGACGCTTTTTCATGAGCAGAGTTGGACGGTCCAGTTTTCGTGGTGCGTCTGCAAGCGGGAAGTCGCGTCAAGGCTCAGACTGGGTCTCGTCGTCTTCCTGATGGCCTCGCCAGGCCATCCCGGGTCCCCCGAACCCACAGTAGTCTTGATTGCTTCTCCCCGACAGCGGGGCCAAGGCCGCGCCAGTGGGGATACGGATGCAAAAAAACATGGCGCAGCAACAACGACCGAACCAGAAAGAACCAAATCCCCCCTCCACCTCCTTGCCTGACCATTGGCAGTAGTTGCTGCGTTCGGGAGGTTCCTGGAACGCTTTCTCAAGTCTGGGGACGGAGGGGGGCCACGTTGGCCTTAGGTCTAGGTGCGGCGGCGTGAGCCAGCAATGCAATACATGTTGGCGTGAGCTGGCATTGCATGCCCTTCGGCGTACGACTTTTGAGCGAGTGCGTGAGTGACGGAGGGGGGTCATGCGAAGTGGTTCTTCAACGCTTGTTGCAAAGTTTACCCCCTCAACGGGATGGCGGGGCGGCACACAACGGGAGTGGGATCGAGGGTTGCAGAAAAGGGGCCTTACATGGCTCTGACTGGGCACATCGCCGGGGCGAGAGCGTCGGTGAACCCATCCGTGACAGCGTGGGTCCCCCCCTGGGGTCCCGAAGGCGCACGAGAAGGTGCACCTTGCTTCCCCCCCCCCCCCCTTCTGGTGCCCCCCCGTTGCAGAGGTGGGCCTTCCACGGTGGGGATCGGTCAGACGACGCTCACCACGGAGTGCGAGCACTCTCCCCGCACGACCGCCGCGGGGGGCAGCCCGCTGTGCGGCCTGCACGGCCGTGGTCTCCCGGGCCGCCCGGGCCTCTGCGCCGAGGCCCGCTCGAGCGGGCGGCCGTCTGGTTGGTGTCGCTGCGCTCGCCAGCAGGAACAAAAAGGGGTTACACGTGCAGATGCGTTCTCGTGTCCACGAGCAGCCGCACCCAGGGGGGCCCCCCGCCTGCCACCTCCTCACCATGGGTTCGAGCGTCGCGCGCTCGCCCCCGGGATGCCCTGGCAATCGTCCGAGGAGCCGGGCTCTCGCCCGGGGGCAGCTTTTCTGCAGGCGCCGCGACCCTGACACTCTCAGGGATCACGCCCTCGCTGCGGACGTCCTCGCGATGTTCCTGGGAATCGGGCTATCGCTACAGACTGTTCCCCCTCATGAGCTGGCGCTTCAGCGGCCAGCCCGCTCGACCTGGCCGTCGGGGCCCGCCCGCCCCGACCGTTGGTGCCCGCCCGCCCGACCCGCCCGTCTGATGCTGCCGCTCGCTTTCCTGTGCTGACCTCTCACGGTTCACCCTTCTCCCTCGCTCTTGCCCTTTCCCTCCTCCGACCCTTCCCGCACTCCTTGCCTTCTCGCTATTTGTTGGCCCTGTCTCCCTTCCCTTCCTGTTTTAGGGGGTGCGCCAACGACATGTGGCAGGACAGGAAGGCATAGCCCTCAGGGCATACGATCGAGGACGAAGAAGGTTGTGTATTGGAAGTGGCATGGTGGTATGGGTTTTATTGTTGAGTTCTCAACCCGGTCGAAGGATAATGATTGTTGATCCCGTCCCTCCTGTGCCCACTGTGTTTTTCAATTGGGGTGCCCCTCCCCTGCACCCGCATGTTGTTGTCCTGGATTTGTTTCGAGGGTCGAACCATTTTGTGGCCCCTGGGCTGGAATCGACAAGCGTGTTAATGTAGTTCACTCTCATGTGTTCGGGTGTCAACTACTCTCGATACCCGCCCTCTTCGTCTTTGACCATCAGTCTTCCCCCCCCCTTCGGGGGGGGATATCGCCTTCCCCGCCCCGTGTAGCGGGCGCAGCCCAGAAAAGAGGAAACAACAAGAACAACGGAAAAGGGAGAGGGCGAGGAGGATGGCAGTGGGGGAAGGGAGGGATGGGGGAGGGGGACAAGAGGGAAGGAAAGGTGGAGGATGAGAGGGATCAGCAAGAGGGCTTAGCAAGAGGGGATGAAAAGGATCGATGGGGAGAGCGCGGTTCATGAGTAAAGTGTAAGGAATCCCGAGCGAGAGCGCGATTCCACCGCGCCGAGAGCGATTCGTGAAAAGAAGTTGTAAGGAAGTCCCAGGCGAGAGTGCGATTCGTGTATAGGTTGAGAGGAAGTCCCGCGGACCAGCGCGATTTGTCAATCTATTGGGGATGTATCAGGCGAGAGCCGCTGCTGTGGCAAACTGGGGGCCAAAGACGCAATCTGAGGTCCAACCTTGTCTTTGGTGAAAACAGAGTGCGACCCCCTGGAGGGGCACTTCAATTGAAAGCCACGATGGGCACTGGTTGGGGAGGGATCAGCAACACGTACTCCTGAGACGTGAGAGCTCAACAACAACAACATCAACAATAACAACAACAACAATTACTAGCACGTGGGGATACACCGTTCTCACCAGTGCCAGGGTTTTCATAGGAGGCGGGCAATACCCCCACTTTGTGGGGGGGCCGGTTCAAGCTCTACCAAATTTCCAAACGACTCTTCGCCACCACCCACACCCAGCTTCCCGCCCTATGACGTTCGGACACTTCACTTCGTGGCATGCGGACGACCGTGGCTACTATTCAGGGCCCCGCGGCCGACGACGACGGCGTGCGCGCGCGAAGAAAAAACGAATGTGTCCCGCATGGTATTATTTGACAGGGATGATGGCCCTGGCAGGTGCGCAACTGTTGTTGCAGAAGTTCGAAAAAGTTGCTCGCAAAAGCCCGTTTGACAGAAATGATTAAAAAGTGTTGGGTTTCCTACGAATCCGCAAGAGCGCGCGGGATGAAATTTTGACATTTTTTGAAAAACACCAGTGTTTTTTATGTTTTTATGTTAAAATCGCTACGAAAACTAAGGTTTTGGAATGATTTCGTCTTGCGCGCGCGAATGTCCACTTTACCTTTTTTTTGCAAGGGATTCTTGAAGTTTGGTTATGTTAGAACAAGAAGTGTCCACTTTAGCTCATTTTTTGCAAGGGAAAACCGATCGTAACAACACAACCGGATCCGGACTCCCCCGTTTTGCCTGGGACTTCCTCTCGGAAATGATGAAAATGAGGCTGCGGCCTAGGCGCGGCGGGGGGGTCGTGCACCAGGGGCCCCAACAACAATTATTCTTTAGAAGTAATACTGTTCAACAACAACAACAACAATAACAACAACAACAACAGCAACAGCAACAGCAACATCAACAGCAACAACCACAACCACAACCACAACCACAACCACAACCACAACCACAACCACAACCACAACCACAACCACAACCACAACCACAACCACAACCACAACCACAACCGCTCCCGCCTGATATGACACCTCGTCGCGGTTTATTCACAATCGCCTTGTCGTGCGGGACTTCCTCACAGCTGTTTGGGCGTCGCGCTCTCGCCGCGGACATCCCTGGGCTTTCCAGGCGCTCCGCCCCCCAAACTCCTCGGAACCGCGCCGTCGCACAAGCCCTCCCCACACTCTGCTCGAGGCCTCGTGCCCTCGCCCGAGGCCTGGCCGCCCGCAGCGCACCCTCGAATCTTGGCTGCACTGCCCCCCCCCGCCCGCCCCGCCCCGCTTGGGCCCGCCCGCCCGACGCCCGCCCGTCCGAGTGCCCGCCCGCTCGGCGGGGGGGGGCCGCCCGCTCTCCGGCGGGCCGCCCGCCGAGGCCCGCCCGCCGAGGCCCGCCCGCCGAGGCCCGCCCCCCTCGGGCCCGCCCCGCCCGCTCGGGCCCGCTCGGGCCCGCCCCGCTCGACGCCTGCCCGCCGGGGGCCCGCGCGCCTGCGTGCCGGGAGACCCCCCCGCCCGCGCCGTGCCCAGCCGAGAGCATGGAGAGGCAGCGCCCGAGGGGCTGCTCCCTTCACCTCCCCTGAGCATCCTCCTCCTCCTCCTCCTCCTCCTCCTCCTCCGTAGCCATTTTGGCTCAAGCCGGCATGAGCTCCCCGTAGTCGTTTCTGTCTGCTTTGTGCGCTTGTGAGGTTGATTGCCCTGCCATTTGTTTTCGTGGACGGCTACGTGGTCCATGGGTAAGGCGTACAATTTATTAGCTGCTCGTCTTCGGTTGCTGGAAAAGCAGACGTATTGTGAACTTGATTCTTCCCTTCAGCATTCTGCTATTCGTCGGCACGCGTTCTTGTGTGAGGTTCTGCAACACAATGTTCATCACCCATCCCATGCAGCGACTTTGGCCAGACCGATGGTTGGAGATCAGGTTTACCGATCTTCTCGACGCCTGTTTCGGAATGCTGGTAAAGAGCGCCACGTTGTTTTCGAGCAAGAGGCCCGCACCCCGCTCTCTTCTGATGGGGTGATCTGTGCACGACGATGGCGGCGTACTCGTCTACGTGCTGATGCACCTGAGTTTCTTCCCTCTGCCAGCGACGTGCCTCCCGTCTGTGCCATCGCCGCATACCGCTCGGAGCCCGTAAGGCAT